AGTCATTCTTTTCCTCGATTCGGGATTAAAATTGGTGACTTGGGACACCCTAAATCTCCCAAGTGGCGACTCTGAAATAAATAAACCAATCCCGTCTCGATTGTCCTTTAATTGGAAAAAACTCCCTTGCACCCTCGGGTGCGGAAAAAGGAGGTGTGACAATAGGTCCCTCTCTTGCTCTTTGTCCGCAATGCTCTTGTTTTATCGTTTTGTAAGAGATTTCTTTTTTTGTTTATAAGGGAGAGACTTTATGATAGGAAGTCAATTACTGATTAATTGAAAACTAAAAGTAAAAAGGACAAGGAAAAAGGATAATGGCACTATTTTCTTAAGGTGATGAAACTCTATAGTAAAAGATAAAAAAACATCCGATTTATTACACAAAGAAACCAAATGTTGCCGCACTCTAGGAAAAGAAAACTTTCACACTACACAATGTGTAAAAACACACTACACTCTTGATTCATTTCATTTGAGCTATTTTCCAAGAAGATGACGCCTACAACCAAGATCATGTCTACAAACACTGGCGAATCCAAATTGATTTGCTTATATAGTCTAAGATCCATCACTGTCTGTCTACACAAGCTCAAGTTCTCCCACCTGCAGCTTCTTGAGCCTTCTGACCAGTTTCCCTTGTCCTCTGTCCCATGGTTCCAGCTGTATCCTGCACTCTCCTTTTTCCATGTTCCAACTGCTCTCTCGCCGGCCCTCTCAAGTAGTTTATGATCCAAGACAGCGAAGACAGCGCCGTAATACCGAAAGCTCCTGATGTCAAGAATCCAGTGACAGCCAATGCTATGGTTAGAACTGCAGGCACCAAAACGGGGCTGAACAGCAAGAACAGAGGAGTTGCAACGGCAAGACCGATAAGAGTTCCTGTAAGCGTCAACCCTGCAAGACAAAGGAGAGCACCTCCAACTGGGAAGAGAGTAACTACTGCTAAAACTTGTGATTTTGATGGACCCTTTTGAGGGACGAGGCTTTTCATGGCTTCAGTGGGTTGTATTTGTTGCTGCTGCTGCTGGCGTGGGTCAGCCATGGATTGGATGGATATATGTGGAGAGTTAGATTTTTTAGCTAGAGAGGAATTGAAGTGATACGAAAGATTAATGGAGGAGTTGATGAATTTAAAGAGGAGTTGAATGGACGCGTGGGGAGTGGAAGTGACACATGTTGCAGAGACGGAGCGTAGAGGTTTGCATGACAATTAGATGGTGCCTTCTTATAAAGAGATGACTATCAATCTGTTTGCCCTTTTCCTTTATTTTGTTCTATTCTACGGTTGGCATTTACTGGCTCTTTTTTCAATTCCATCTTTTCTAGTTCTGTTTATGAGGTGATTTTATTTTTATTTTTCATCTTTGGGACAAAATTCTACTTTCTTTTTCTTCAAAATATGGAGCTTCGCGGTGGAAAATATCAACGTAAAAATTGCTGTGGATCGATAATATGCGGTAACACCATTACTCCAAAATAATAAGAAGTAATAACTCATGATAAAAATAACTATATTACTTTTGATACTTATTTATACTTAATATTGAAGTTTAACTTAATTACCAGTTGATACATACAAAGTAACGTATTAGACCTCAATTTTTCTCATTTTCTTACTTTTGTTAGATGTTGTTACAAATGTTGAGGATATTCTTGAGAGATTTATATCTCAATTTTGAAAGAATTTGATAAAGATTCGAGGTGGTTTTGGTTAGAATTTTAAATTGAAACTCGAAGAAGAATACAACAAATTATATATATTTTGTACAAAAATATAATATACAAATTATATATATTTTGTATATTGTATTTTGTACATACAATATATATACAACTGACATAATTATATACAAGTTATATATACATTGTAGTTTTCGACTGAATTCTGTACAAAAGTTATATTTAAATTGAATTATAGATTTTGATCAAATTTGTATATATTTTATAAAAAACTATAGTTACTTTTTGTAAATAATTTTTTTAGATAAACCGGATAAATAAATTTAAAGTTTTGTATATATACGAAAAGTCCCAAAAACATCTGTCTCAAAACACATGATCGACTTTACCCTAAGGTGAGTAAAGTAATAGTAAGCCCCCACAATATTAAGGCCTAAAAAATTACCCATATTATATAGCAATTTAAATAATTATATTATTATTAGTGAAAAGGTAATTTTTTTTTTTAATTATTTGCTGCCAATTTGCGATGGAAATGCATGCAGTTGAAAGTTGTAGCAATTTTGATTGTTGATAAAGTATTTACATTTGAAAGTTACAGCCAATTACTTCCGGCTTATTTTGTCTAATTTATTTCAATTTAAATCAATCTTCTTTATAATGCTATCTTTGTATAAATTTTTTTTCAATTCTTTTATTGCTTCTATAGATAATTTTCAAGCTAATTAGATTCTAGCGGTTAGATTTATTAGCTTAATATTAAATGTTTTTTGAAACATCATATTTATCATTATGATACTATTGGTTTCATCTTATTTTTAGCGTTAAAGTGCAAAGAGAAATGTACAAATAGAAAATACTCTTATTGGCATATGGATAAGTTTGCAAAAATGCAAACTTCTCTTGTGGTTTTATTTAGATTTATGCCTCATATATTGAGATTAAATATCTAATAATGTATTGATGAGTTCTTGTTTATCGCAATTATCTCTCAATCAATTACGATAATTTACTAAAAATATTCTCTCGAATTACGCTAGCTCACACTTTTTCACCGCCTACTATGATCACGTTAAAGCTTCGTCATCTCTAACCCCTCTTTTAAACCTGCCGTATTGATCTCTCATATATATTAAGAGCGACATTGTTCGACAACAACCTAAATATGCTTTCTTTCTCAAGCAATACACAATAAATAGGCACAATCAATTGATGAACATTTAATCAACAACAATAAACACGTAGTTGAACAAGTAGGGATATTCAAAGACAAAATTATATTAAAACGTAACAAGAATTCATCCTCCAAAAGGTTCCATCAACCCCTGGATTACATAATTAAGCTACTCATAATTGTTTAAACAATCATAGTCATATTCAAAAGCATTAAACTACAGTTTAAAGAAGAACGGAGAGAAAAACTCTTGTGATTCGTGATCGAGAGTGTTCTGTAGCCTTTTTCCTTTCCAATAATGTCCAACCCTTCAAACACTAACTTTAAGAGGTATTTATATGGTGAGGCCAAAGTCTACATGTCCAAATATAATGAGGAAATAAAAGTAGCTCGGATAAGCATCGTCGGTGCAGGGCATTGTCAGAGGCACCAATATTACTCCCCGAGGCACCCATAAGAGGCGTCAACATTACCCTGCGACGCGCTATCACAGGCGCCAATGACAATGCCCTTGACAAAGCCTTGCATTGTCTAAGGACGCGCTATAAAAGTAGCAATTCTTTTATTGCATCATTTTGTAGCTTTGAGGTACCATTTCGTGCAATTTTTCTCTGCTTCATGTCCAAGCATTCCTACACGTAAAATAAACTCTATTAAGATCTAGCATCCAAACAACAAGCAAGTAGGGTAAATAACGTCAAAATATATGGAATTATAGCACGCCATCTACACTCCACGATTAAATGTTGCTCACCCTTGAGTCAACCAACTAAACACTTCCTCTTCAAGGACCCAACAAGCCACACATTCATAACACATTACACCTATGACCATAGTTGATAGCAACAATTAAGCTCTAGCATATGTGATTAAAATACACTTCCCGTACTTATGCCTAATTTCAAAATATTCACACAGGGACATGATTATAACATTCCTAGCCTCGAAAACTAACTCAATATGACAATGTACATGAGGCTTGAATATTAATCTAACAGAAAAGTCTAATAATGTTACTTATCCTTGTAAAACCATGTACCCTCACATTAAAACAAAAGATTAAGCAGTCCACACATCCAAATCATATGATCGAATATATTTTAAGGATTCACACATATGAAGAAAAATCACTCACTCTCTCAAAGAAGTCACATACACGCAAGAGGTACCAGAGGCTTACCCATTATGTAAACCTCTACTAATGTAGGCCCACTCAGTCCGAAATCAACTAGGACTTTATTATGGATGTAATAGGGGCTAAGGGACGGGTATGATATATTTAGGACATAGTGGCTAATCCTCCTAAGAACTTTAACATATCACGTATTCAACTTTAAGCGCAAAATTTCTTCGATCCACTTCAATCATCACAAGATAACTCAGCCCAGAATATTTTCCTCTTCTTTACGCACTGCTTCAGATCACATCCACTAGCAAAAATAAGAAACCTTTATTTATTTATTTATTTTTTTCCTCTTTTTTTTTCTTTTGTATTTTTGACATGCTGCTAGTGAATTTTTATTTAAAGCATAAGTGCACATTTCTTCCTTTATTGGTTCCACTCAAAAGTTACCCTAAGTTTTCTCATTATTTCTTTCTAGCGCTCTCTTTACAATTCAAGTGCTTTAAAAGGTCTAAGGATCAAAATGATTCAATTAAGAATAAACGGGGATAGACTTGTAATACGGGTGCCAAAAGAAAGGCTTATAGGCTCAAAAGGGTAACTAGGGATGATTTTATTTGTGATAGAAACAAAACTCACAAAGATCAAAGAAATCCTAACCTCACTTATCAAACAGAGCAACACCTAGGATTTTGCTTCAATTCACATTCCGGTCAAGTTCTAGACTTAAATGCAATAACATGGACTATGCAAAGAACTCACGTCACACATGGCACATGACTCACTAAAGAACATTCCCATTCCGACTCTCAGTCAAACAAGTATTCACAAAGCCAAGAGATATATTAAGCATAAAATACAAAGTGAACACAAGGAAAGCAACCGAGACATAAGAGTCATATCACATGCTATTCATTTTATCAAGGCATCATCATATATTTAAAGCTAAGGAGCAGTGAAACACATGCCAGATCCTAAGTATGAAACCATCATGTTGGACCAAGTAAAGGTGGAGTTTTGAAGACTGACAAAAGAACTCAGACATGGACTAGGTCAATCTTGTGAAGCACAGTCATGATCAATCCAAACATGTGAGATGCATGTGAAGGAGATAAATCTAACTTATCAGAAGTATTATCTCCTGATCTAATCTAAAAGGTTGCATATTGGATAAGGAGAGAAAAAACTCCTTACACAAAGAGAACACAGTTTTAGGAAGAGGATAATGTTAGAGTATGAGATCAACTAGAACTCTTCTACCATAGAAGAGTAGCATCTGTATCCCAAGTCAATCTCTAATTACTAACCCATTATATATCAGTGTTGTTCTCTTTTACAGGTAATACACATAAGCAGAAGTTAAATGTAAATTGAGAGAAAAAGAGCAAGGCGATTTTGCAAGCAATTTATGTGTGATTCAAGCGTGCAATCCTAAAGCTACTTGAACAAGATAGAAGAACCAGTTCCAAGTGTCTATCTTTTATTCTAGTTCAATTATAGTAGGTAATTTTACATTGTACCTTTTAGCTTTTATAGAAGCAATTGTATTAGGTACCTAGAGTATTCAAGTTAGATTTAACTTGAAGTTGTTGCAACAGTTGAGGCTGTGTGCCACAACGAGATTAGAGTTAATTCTAGGTTTACAAAAGAGTTTTTGTAAATGCAGTTTTTGGATCAGTGATTTTAGTGGAAGTTTGGAAAAATCCTACTGAGTAGTAGGTCGTGATTTTTTCACCTTTTGAGCCACGTGTTTTCCACGTAAAAATCTCTGTGTTCTTTATTTTCTTTGCTTATTATTTCACAAATAGTAGTAGTTGGAACACATAAAAGAACCATGTCCTTCTATAATCTAGTTAAGCAAAAATTGGGTACCACACAAATCACCCCCCCTCTTGTGTGATATTGAAGTATAAAACATCAATTGGTATCAGAGCCAGGTTATCCTTGAAGAGGCTAACACCTTAGAAATAGATCAAGATGAGTGCACTACCTGAAAACTGGGAAGGGCAATCCACTGCTAGGCCCCCACTCTTTAATGGTTAGTACTATTCTTAGTGGAAGAACAGGATGAGAGACCACATCATAGGAGAAGACTATGAACTTTGGGATATAGTCACAGATGGTCCCCTGGCTACTACAAAGAAGAATACTAAAGGAGTGGACGTGCCAAAGACAAGAGCTGACTGCACTGCTGAAGATTTGA